ATTCAACAAATCAACTCACATGAAATCGAAGTATGTATCTGATGTAATTTCCCCATCTTAATATCTTCGCCTTAAATTTCACAGTACGTTATGACTAGTATATGACAAATTCACGACTGAATTTACACCGATAAAATTCAACTAAAATGCGGTATATGATTTCACAATGTTTAATTTTATGGAATTAATACAATTAAACATTACGAAATAAAATATTGTAGTTGTAAGATAACACAACAGCTGTAACGAACCTTATCTCTTGTGATGTGATCTCTGATAAACGACAATTAGTTAAATTATGATATAATATTTTGCTGTAGGTAATTAAGGTTGAATTACGAATGGTTGGCTCGACCGGGGAAGGACCACGGTCTAATAGATTACCAGCTTAAAATAGCAGCTTAATGCTGTTGTGTTTCGTACGGTGAATGTAGAAAATCAGTCCTCAGAAGCGAGAACGCATTTGCAATATAACTCATAGTTGAAGATAAATGTAGATGTCAATGAGAATCAGCATCCACTTACCATCAGGTGGGTTTACCATCAGGTGGGCTGTGTGCTCGTTGGTCACTCTTATTCTATAAAAAAATCATATTCTGTTTTTGTTTTAATTTGAAGTCATTGCTTTTAATTATAATCCTCTCATTAATAATAATGGAAATGTAGTCTTCATAGTTAGTCTTAATATTTAATGAGGATCTCCTACATGAAACCAGTGAAAATAAAAAGTGAGACAACTTTTACATAGTCAAATATTGTTGATGTTAGTCAATAATTACTACTTGTGTATTTCACCAACTGGAGCTGATGAATGGTGTATAACTTACAATTAATTCCTTTTTTATTGAACATACAGGTAGAGGTAACAAATTGCTGTCAGAAATATGGAAATATAGTTTATTGATATTAAAGGTATAGTCTTATCTTATACCTCTTAATAATAGAAAATGACCTTCCGATTTTTGAAACAGAAACAGAAACAGAAACTTTTTTATTCAATGTAGATTATAAACAATACTTATTGAAAGTCAATTTTTTTATTTACCACTGTTTCGCAAAAAAATCAGTGACAATTATCACAAATGGATATGTTACCATCAAGTTGTTATATTTACATTTGAACCCGGTAGATGGCGCTGTTGTCAAAATTCGTAAATGGCCCGTGCGAAGTCGGGGTGGATCGCTAGTAATGAATACAATTAAATTATACCTGTGTTTTTGTAATCGTTACACAAACAGCTTAAAACTTCTTACTTCCTCACTATTTATCAGTAGCGTAATAACATAGATAATTACGATATTACCTAGTCATTTTAATGTTATTACTCAGTCACTTTATTGCAATGTATCCTGAGTGCTTACTAGTCAACCAAAACATATTAAAACAAAGTCATGACGCCGCACCTGTCGGTTTATCTCAATCAATCATCAATTTAAAAAAAAACTTTATTAAAACAAGTTTGTGTAAAAATAATTTATGAATGATAATCACTCCTGGTTCAGTTGATCTCTACCAAGATATTTCTAATTTTTTCTGTGGTGTTAATTGTACCATAGTATGATTGTAAGTTGTTATTTAAAAAAATCCCTGCTGGGTTTCTTGCTGGTTCTTTCCAGGTCAGAGTTTTTTTCCGAACCAGCAGAAAATAAATAAAAGTGACCTTCAATAAGTATTATTTATAATCTATATTAAATAAAAACTTTCTGTTTCTGTACTACAATAATTAATAGAATACTTTGAAAATGGTGATTTACTATAATAAATACAGTTAAGTTATATTTTGTTTTTTCGTAGCAAAACCAGTTTAAAACTAGAAGCTCGGCTTTTGCATTTCGTCTGGTGTATGCAGGTGGCCGGAGGCCCAGTCCTCCCCCCCCTTAACGTGGTAGCGAAGTTAAATAAAACACTACCCTAGGAGGGTACCAGCCCCCAGGTGACGGAGAATCCCTCGCTGATCATCCACGCCCAAGCTACCCTACTCTACCTGAACATGGGTGCTCAGGCTGCCCCGCGTATTCCGCGAAAATTGGAGCGGAATTCCGCTTGAGACTAAACCTGCTCGAGGCAAACGGAGCAAGAAGTCAAAGGCGCCTCCTGCCACGGCATCCGTGAAAATCTGCAACACCAGATGACATCATTCAAACCTTTAAGTCGTCCACTACCATATGGAAACGGCGAAGTTGAACCTGCTCTTTCTAACCAAGACACAGGTGTCCTCTTCGGATGATACTTTGTATCTCTCCTGCCCGGAGTACAAATTAGAACACTGCTTTGTGCACTGAGATGAAGTTTGCGTATACATCGGAGAGGACATCTTTTTTCTATGCCTCTTCTTTAATAGGACTGTTCTGCAGAGAACAGAACAAAGAACTTTTTAGCAAAACTGATAAAAAGTTCTTTGTAGTGTATTACAATTATTACCGTTTCGTAAATGTATATATGTAAGCGATAATAGGGTCAAAATTTTAAGTTCCTTGAAATGTGGCTTACAACTATCCTTTGGTTTGATGCCACATGCTGTCCATACACAGCGCTTTTGTGCCTTGAATACTGTATTTAGGTTACTACCATTACCCCAGAGGATAAAACCATATCTAGTGATTACAACTACATATCCATGGTAAGCTATCAATACCGATTTTTGTTTAATGCTTTATTTAGTCTATATAAAGCATAATACGAGATGCGTTCTCCATTTCATATTGCTATCAATGTGAATAACGGAAAATTTATTACTAAATATTTTAGTAATTTCCTTATCAGCATATTTTATTTTTAAATTCATATCTGAGTGATCTGATTGCTTAAAACTCATTATCTTAGTATTTTATAGGTTTAATTATAAATTGTTATTTTGTAGCCAGTTTATTATACTTATCAAATTCATTTTAATGTCAATTTCATAATAACACATAACTGTTGTGTTATCAGCAAATAATATAATATCATTTTTAAAGCATTAGATTAGTCATTAATATAGATCAAAAATATGAAGCGAACCTGAACACTGCCTTGTACATGGCCTATCGAACTAAAATACTTTCAGATAAGTAAACCCTTTCCATTTTATACCCAAATGAAATTCTACATATACTACGCTACCAAAACAATTAGGCGCATTCTGAACATGGCGGCTTGAGGACTAGTGAGGGGAAAACTTTCATCTGTATAATACCAGGTGATAAATAGTATGAGTACTAGTGTATACTACTCGTAGTTATTTATTTTAATTAATTACAATAGCTACGTTTGTGAATTTAAATGCATCATAGTGTTATGTATCGACCACTAAAACGAAAATAATTGAATGGTTATTTTCAGTCATTACGATACTTATGGTATTTAGAATTTCAGAAATTTTGGGAAAAGAAAATTCTGATATTAGGTCAGCAATGCCTATTAGGTAAATTGATTTTAGGATTTTTTAGATCGGAGGTACTTATTAGACACACAATTTATGTTTATTATTAATAATTTTAATGAATTTAATAAACGACAGAAAAGTGACTACAGATAACGGGTCAAGGTTTTAAAAGTGCTCTCGAAGCGCCCAGCTGATGCGTGACAGTACTTATTCTGAATCAGTATCTGACTCCAATTCTTCAATCCCCGAAATTCTTTCAAAATCTGATGTGTCATCATCACTGTCGCCATCGTTTATATTTACTATTAGTTCTCTGGCGTCTTGTAGTCCTTGTTTCTCCCAGTACTTCTGCCGTAACCGGTCTACATTGTTAATTTGCTTTTTCCAATCAGTTTGCGTAATTGACTGTATGGCCTCCCTGGTTAAAGATTCGATAAGCCTTTCTGACTGTTCCACATTTTTGTCGGCGATCCTTTGTTTCATTATATTCCAAATATACTCAATAGGGTTTAGATCACACGGGTACGGCGGCAGTCTGAGAACTTCGTGGCCGCTTTCCCTCAAAAGTTTGTCTACTAAATATTCTTTTTCTGGCCTGTTTCGAATTATCAAGTAATACAACTCTGGCTTTGTCATGCGGGCATCGAACGCAATATTTTTTGAAGTCAACCAGTTTTGCATTTCTTCCTTGCGAGACGCCATTGAGGGAGGCTTATTTAATTGTTTGCTATGATATGAAGCATTGTCAATAACTACAATGCTGTTGGGTGGCAAATTTGGGATCAATTTTTCACTTAACCATTTTATGTAGTTTTTGCTGTCCATCTCATCATGATAATCTCCTTTTGAGCTTTTGCATTTATATAACAAATGTGCACCTTCGACAAACCCAATCTCTCCTCCTGAAATAAAAAATTACAACTTTTTATTTCAGGAGGAGAGATTGGGTTTGTCGAAGTCTATGTCTGTTGATGTATGTGTCATAATATTATGCAATGTCTTTGTAGTGATAGCAGGACACAAAAACAATCAAATTGACGTTGACATTTATAATATTATATAAGATAAATTGCTGGATGCGGGCTACGCAGGACCGTTAATCTTTGGGGGAGGCCTATGTCCAGCAGTGGACGTCCTGCGGCTGACACGACGATTAGATAAACATTATTCCTGCTGAGAGATTTTTGTTTAATATAATTATAGCTCACACCTCAGGAATATTTTTTATCTTTATCGCAATCGAAAAGTGATAGGTGATAATCAGTACTAAGGAAATTAAGAAAACAATAGGTACTAAAAACGAAAGAAAAACAAGGAAAGTTGTTCATACCTGCGTGAACTACTCTCCAGCGCTGGCCTGCACTAGCGTTTTTTCTTAGGCCTGGGATAGTTTGACTTTGCCAGCACTTATTTACAGTATAATGCGAGTGTATCCAGGTTTCATCTGTGAAAATAACTGGTTTTTTGTCTGTACCCAAATCATCATTTTCTTTTAACCGCCGTAAATAGCGAGCACGCCACGCTGCTATTTCTGGTCTTTCGATTAATACATCTCGCTTACTGGCACATTTCTTAAATCGGAAGCCTAACTGTTCAGTCAAAATTTTTCGTAGAGTCTCCCGTTGACCAGGAAAATTAAGGTCTCTTTTGACAGCCACTAATAGTTTTTTCAATGTTGGCACTTCTTTGTGAACGGTATAAAAGGATTAAATTTTGGTTTTGATAGCACATATCATCAATCTCCAACTTTTTCTTTTGTATTCGCTTTTTTCCTGGAGTAGACAGTTTTACTGACTCTGTTGGGGCTTCGCTTGAAGTACTCGGTTGCGGTTCACTTTCAACTTCAAGTCTTCTTCGTTTGGCAATCTCGTTTTCCTCTTCACGTTTAATTCTGGTCAGTGTGTGTCGACTTACACCAGTAGCAGCACACACTCGTTTGTCTACTGCTGTTATTGGAATAGTGATTCCTCTTAACTTTTCTTCCTCAAAAAAATGAAATATTCTTAATATGATGGTCCTTTCTGACCCACGGATTGTTCTTTTTTTACCCATTGTGAGATATTAAGAATATAATCACCAGTATAATAATATGTTCTAGCTTCGTAACTAGTATGGTGTTCTCCTCACTAGTACCCGAGACGTCGGCCGCCGCTGCCGCCGTGAAGCTTTTTTTGTTTTAGTTGCGAAATATACACCACACAGTAGCAATTAACGATAAAGTAAACTCAAAACAAATAATAAAAAAAGTAACAAGATAACGAAAAACAACTAATTAATAACAAAAATCTCGCACAGACAAACATCAACGCTTAAAGCAAGTATCCGACTGCGCCGATGCAGTGTTGCCACTACTGAATTCCCAAAATAAATATACCATTGCTGAAAGTGTGTATTTTGGGTTTAAACATGTACATGAGAATTTTTTTATTTTAAAATTACCTAATGCCCCTTTTATTCACTCGTTATTTTTTAAGTTCAAATAATATGAAATTTGGATTCCAATACGCATGTCATGTTAAAAAGGTACGTGAAAGAGGATCAGGCACAAGTCAGAAAATGCATTCAAAACCTATTTAATGTTGTTCCTTACACTCATACGAGCAACATACTTTTTGAATCATTGAAATCGGTCCATTCGTTGTGTTGTGATGATATTACACGTTTTAAAAAGGACTACCGCGGGGCGGCCTAAAAGCCCGTGTGACGTCACAACATCTGATCCCGCCCTCATGTAAGTGAGGTTTCTACCATGAAGATAGAAGCTAACCTAGGTCACTTTACACAAAACCGGTTTCTAGTTTATTTTTATAACTCATTATTATTATATCATCGAACTAATTAATTATTATTACACATCAATTTCTAAAACTACCCTTATTATTTGTCAGACGTGGTGAAAATTTTTTTTACTGTATATTCTAGTTTCTCAAGTTCTATGAATCTGTATTCATACCTTAAATCTTGATTCTTCTTCAATATTAGTAACCTAGTAACGAAACGACGACAACACTGTACCGCAGAAAGTAATTATTGCGCGTCACTATGGGACGTGCGAGACGTGGTGCGGGGTACAGGGCGCGGTAACCGCATTCCTGTCATGCGCCTAATTGTTTTGGTAGTGTAGTACGTGTTATTTGTATTAGATAAATACGAACTAATTAGTTTTAGTGTATTTCCATTATTAGTAGGTCTCCATTTTTCTTAATAGAAAATTGTGGTCAATAAAATCAAAGGCCCTGGTGGAATAATGCATAAACTGAAGAAGTATAATTCCGCCTCTAGGTCCTTGAAAACAGTCATTGCCAAGGCAAAGTCAGAGCACATAGGCAGAATTGGCGAGAAACTAGTTCGCCTTCCTTCTGGAACCCGTGCATGCTGGTCTCTCGCCAAGGCTGTCCAGGGGAATTTCTGTCAGCCATCTCTTCCATCTCTGCACAGGAAGGACGACTCACTGGCCCATACCGCAAAGGAGAAAGCCAATCTTCTAGGCTCTTTCTTTGCGTCCAACTCGACTCTTGATGACGGGGGGAACACACAGCCGACCATCCCGCGGAGTGAGTGTTCTATGCAGAATGTCCTGTTTACTCAACGCTCGGTTCGCAAAGCACTCCTCTCCCTGAACATCCACAAGTCGAGTGGGCCTGACGGAATCCCCCCAATTATACTGAGGACGTGTGCTTCAGAATTGGCACCGGTTTTAACACATCTTTTCCGGTACTCCTACTCCCTAGCTGTAGTCCCAAAATCATGGAAGACGGCTTTCATCCACCCGATCCCTAAAAAAGGTGACCGCTCAGACCCGTCCAACTACCGGCCTATCGCTATCACCTCCTTTTTCTCCAAAACAATGGAGTCCATTGTAAACTGCCAGCTCATGAGATACCTTGAGGATCACCAGCTGATTAGTGACCGTCAATACGGTTTTCGCCGTGGTCGGTCAGCTGGTGATCTTCTGGTCTACCTAACTCACTAATGGGCGAAGGTAGTAGAGTCCAAGGCCGTGGCCGTTAGTTTGGACATTGCGAAGGCCTTCGATCGTGTTTGTACAAAGCGCTTCTGTCGAAGTTCCCTTCCTATAGGCTTCCCGGGAAATTGTGCGATTGGATCACCAGCTTTCTTGCAGATCGGAGCATCAAGGTTGTTGTAGACGGTGCAAGCTCCGACTGCAAGCCTATTAATGCTGGTGTTCCACAAGGCTGCGTGTTATCGCCAACGCTGTTTCCTCTGCATATTGTGACGGCCCAATATTATTATTAATAATTAAATTCAATATAAAGGGGCGTCAAAAATAGTCTTAAAAGATATATATTAAACAATAAAATTACATTAATAACCATAAAGTTAATATAAATACATTTCAGACGTTAGACCAATAACATAGTAAATTAAAGGCAAAATATTGTCTTCCATAATAAATAAATTTATTAAAAACTTGAAAAAATATTTAAAATAAGATAAATAGTAGAAATAAAATTCGAAAATATTATAAAAATAAAGATAAATAACATTTATAAGATAATTAGAAAATTTGTTAAAAATTGTCTAAGTCTTGCAAGTTCATGTATAAAAGAAAATTTTCCTAAGTTATGGAAGGTGTTCATGTATAGATGTCTTGTATGGAGGAGCTGCCGGAGATACATGCCTGCAGTTGTATATATATATCGGGTGGTCGGGAGCCCGACTGCCTGAAGTACTATAGCACAATGACTAGTCCTATATTAGGGACTTATGATATTAAACTCAATGATACAAAAGCAATACTATAGAAGGTCTCTATGATGAATATGCATTACAATAGTAGGGTCGTGGGTTCGAACCCTATATATTAATGACTTATGAAAGTAAGGTCTACGATACAAAAGCAATACTATAGAAGGTCTCTATGATGAATATGCATTACAATAGTAGGGTTGTGGGTTCGAACCCTATATGTGAATGGCTTGTGAAAGTAAGGTCTATGATATAAAAGCATTATTAGTGAAGGTCTCCTTGATGCATAAGCATTGTATGAGGTCGTCGGGTGACCGACTACTCCTAGTACTGTAGCAAAATGACTAGTCCTTATTAGGGACTTGAAAAGGAATATTGTGGTGGCGTGTATGCTGCTTCACGAGCAATGGATCCGAGGTAAACTTGGGCTCGCTAACCGATGTGTCCTAGACATATCATCTTAGTGCCGGTGGTAAGCGGGTTTGTTGTAGCAATACGGCTTTCCTGTGGACATCGCACACACATACCGTTTGTGGCATACGTCGTAGCGCATAGCGATGCGTCGTCTATCTTCCGCATTGGGATGATGAGTGTGTTAGGTAGCAATTTTAAGTGTAACAGGCATACTCAACTTCATGTCTTAGTGCATTAGCGCTATGATACGTGGAGTTTTGTTCATTGGCGTTTTAGTAACGTGCTACTATGATACGTTGATGATATTTTTTTATATAACAACAATAAAAACTTTGTTACCAAAATCGATAGGGGTCACGTGGGTGTGTTGTGAGGGGGCGCCATTCGTATGATAGTTGCGTTGATGCTTACTACTACTTGCGGTATTGCGTCTTGTGATGGATCTGCGGGTGTGCTGCACCTGATTCGACGCATTCTTGTGGTTCTGGTCGATGGAGGTAAATAAATAACATCTTAGTGCCGGTGGTAAGCGGGTTCGTTGCAGCAATACGGCTTTCCCGTGGACATCGCACACCCATACAGTTTGTGGGCGGCGTAGTAGCGCATAGCGATGCGTCGTCTATATTTCGGATTGGGATGATGAGTGTGTTTGGTAGCACTTTTAAGTGTCACGAGCATACTCAACTTCATGTCTTAGTGTATTAGCGCTATGATACGTGGAGTTTTCTTCATTGGCGTCTTAGTAGCGTGCTACTATGATACGTTGGTGATATTTTTTATATAACAACAATACAAACCTTGTTACCAAAGTCGATAGGGATCATGTGGGTGTGATGTGAGGGGGCGCCATCCGTATGATAGTTGCATCGATGCTTACTGCTACTTGCGGTATTGCGTCTTGTGATGGATCAGCGGGTGTGCTGCGCCTGATTCGACGCACTCTTGTGGTTGTGGTCGATGGAGGTATGCAGGTGGTGATGTCTGCTGGGATGTATGGGGGACCTTGTAATGGTGTAAGCCCTACGATAGTCGTATTGATGCTTGTTGCGTTCTGCAGCATTGCGTCTCTGCGATGGTTGTTTGGTGGGACGCTATTCTCAATGGCGCTCTCTGCGTCTTGGTTTGACTCACACCTAAGTAGCTTTGCCCAAGTCGGATCCCTTCATTACGGGGCTGCAGACTGTCTGCCCTCCATGATGTTTTATATAACACCACAATAAAATTTCTCTGTAACTTTCCCAACTTTGAATAATTGAAGACAACTTGTTGGTGGGTGAGACAAACGTGATCGAAAATGCATTTACCAACGTCAGTGACACAAACCCTTTCTGATGGCGAATTATTACTCTTATCTTATAACTGCCTTTTGGCTATATCTGCCGTTGTATTGGTTGGTGGAGCTTATGTGTCGACCTCATGCGGGTGGTAGCTGGCGGGAGGATCTGAGGAGACTCTCAAGGCTGCGGCCTAAAGCCGCACAACGTGGGACCCCATTCCCTTGTGGTGAGCGGTAGACTCTTGACACGCTCTGCGGCTAGTAGCCGTGCTGATCATGCAATCGGTGGTGATGTCATACACTTACATCACGTCTGCAGGAGCGGCGGTCTGGCAGGTGGTGGCGCTCACGGAGGGTTTACGGCCAGCGTGCCTATTTGCTTAAACCGTGTGACGTACATTCCCTGTGGCTGGATTCGTTCGTATTCTGTATGGCGTTTACACGCATTGACATGCGCGACTTCGGTCGATGTTTCTGCTTACGCACTAACAAGAGGCCAAGCCTCTTATACTGGTTCGCCAGTTATTTTGCTGTGGACTACGGTCCAGTTCCCGAATTAACGTTCCATTCGGGGGGAGTGCATCAAAATGATTGGCGCTCACCGTGCACGGCGTGTGTGCGGCCGTGTGCCTCCCCTACATTTTTTAATAAA